AATATGTTTGCTCTGGTCTTACTTTCCTCCCAATATTTCACTATCGTGAGTATTTAGTGAGTAGTTGAAGCTGAACCCCATTGTGACACTTCCTGCCAACATATTCACATTCAATTTCCTTCATCATGGACCAAGGCACGCTTGAGAAGAAAGCATTCGATGCCGATGGCATGCAGCTGGCCCAGATGGGCCATTCTGAGTCCTTCAAGCGAACATTCAGCCGTTGGACCATGCTGGGCCTTGCCTTTGCCATTCTCAACTCCTGGTCTGCACTTGCTACCTCACTCTCCCTGGCCCTGCCATCTGGCGGACCTGTCGCCGTCGTCTGGGGTCTGCTGACGGCGGGTGTATGCAACCTCGCACTTGCGGCCAGTCTTGCCGAGTTTCTCTCTGCGTATCCCACGGCCGGCGGTCAGTATCACTGGGTGGCAATGGTCGCCCCGGAGTCTCTCAAGACTGGTCTCTCCTGGGTGACTGGCTGGATCAACGTCTCGGGCTGGGTAGCCCTCGTGGCGACCAACTGCTCCATGGCTAGCACCCTGATCATCAACATCATCTTTCTTCTGCACCCGGAATACGACTTCCAGCGGTGGCACCAGTTCCTCATATATCTCGCCGTCGCCTTCATCGCCTTCGCCACCAATGCTTTCCTCCATTCTATCCTCCCCCGCATCAACGGGTTCGCGCTCGCATGGAGTCTGGCTGGCTTTCTCGTCATTTCCATTGCCGCCCTCGCTCGTGCAGCTCCCGACTACGCCACCGCCGAGTTCGTGTTCGCTACTTTTATCAACACTACCGGCTGGCCCGATGGAGTCGCTTGGCTTCTGGGTCTCTTACAGGGTGGTCTGGGCCTTACTGGTTTCGATGCTGTCGCCCACATGATTGAGGAGATCCCCAACGCCGCCGTTGAAGGACCCAAGATCATGATTTACTGCCAGTACATTGGAATTAGCACGGGATTCCTCTTTCTCGTCGTCTTGCTGTTCGTATCTGGGGGATCAGCAAATGCGGATACGATCATTACATCTCCGGCTGGCCCCCTTCTGGAGATCCTTCACATCGCTATCAACAACAAAGTTGGCGCTGTGTGCCTTCTCATGTTTCCCCTGGTCTGCATCGTCTTCGCCGCCATGGCCGTGCTGACCACCTCTTCACGCATGTGCTTCGCTTTCGCCCGAGACGGAGGTCTACCCGCATCTCGCCTCTGGTGGAAGGTTGACAAGCGGCTGGAGGTCCCCCTGAACTCGCTGTATCTCAACTGCTTCATCGTCGTCGTGTTCGGATGCATCTATCTAGGTTCTACGGTCGCCTTCAACGCCATCGTGGCAGCTTCCGTTGTTGCACTTGGTTTGAGTTATGGCATTCCGGTCTTTCTTAACCTCCTCTCACTGAGGACCAAGCTCCCCGAGAGGGCATTCTCGCTTCCACCTTGGCTGGGCTGGGCGGCAAACATCATCGGCGTGGTGTACACCATTATCACCACCGTTCTGTTCTTATTCCCTCCCGGGCTTCCCGTTACTGGGACTACGATGAACTACTGTATTGTGGCGTTTGCCGTTATTGTTATCATCTCTCTCGTTCAGTGGATTGTTGATGGCCGGAAGAATTACCATGGCCCTCGTATCACCACCGACCTGGACGAGGAGTAAGCCGATGTCGTAGAGACTTAGGTACTATGTAGTTATCTCAATACACGCCCCATTTTTTGATTTCCATCCTTCGGTCAAGCTCTCTCAACAAGTAGATGGTGACAGCTCGGTCGTTCGTTTATAATGCTGCATCGGGTAAGTCTATGCGATCTGTAATCGCGAACCAATGGGATCGACCTCTCGGTCAATGTATTTCAAAGGGGTGTAGACATCATCAGCGCTAAAAGTTCCCGCTACAGCCGCCCCCGCAAAATGGCTTGGCCGCTATCTCCAGCGCACCGGAACCGCTATAACCCCTGTAACAGTCTTCGTCCAGCACATTCCTGTTTAGGCAACAAATTGGGCCACGATATCTTACGCGGTGAGATTGTTCATTGGCCCTGGAATGAGTTGGAAATTGGTGTTGAGCATCCATAGTGAATCCGTAGAGGCCTCTGGATCAGTCCGATGAACAGTGATGCCTGAAAGGAATGCCTGCCGGAGCCGCCGGAGGTCTCGGCCTCTGACCCATTGGTGCCTTTACTGATAACTAAAGCCCAAGTGCATGATTGATAGAGCAATAAATGGATCGGCTATTTTACATCTTATCTTGGGTGGCTGATTAGAAACAATGGTTCAGTTAAAAATTGAGATGTAATGGTTTTGGTTGGTTATGCTTTCTAACATGTCTAACCACTCTATGCTTATTTTGGATTATTGTCCTCAAAAGTATCTACATCCCACCCATTCTCATCTTCATACTCGTCCTCAAACGTAGTCCCATGGAGAACCTCATAATTCTTCATAGGCCCAGAATTCTCCCCATAGATGTCCCCACCGAGCAGGCTTGCCACGCGTTGCCCAGCCTCCTGGCCCTCATACCATGCTCCCTGTAGATACCCAAAGAACAGGGGAGCGGTGGCCTCGCCGGCAAACCACACACGATCTACGTTGGCTCGTAGATTCTGATGTCTCTCCAGTGTGACACCAACTGGCCAGTTGCTATAGGACCCGTATGCCCACCTATACATCGATCAATAATTAGAAAAAAATTCACGGAGCTGCTGGGGGGAGCATGAAAGAGGCACTTACTCCTGATGGTTCCACCGAGGGTAGAAGAATGCTGTAGGTTCGGGGATCTGCACGCCTGGGAACATCGAACGCAAGACCTCCATGACCTCTGCTTTGGTCTCCTCGTCTGTTTGGTTCTCCACAACATAGGCCTGGTCGGCGGTGACAGTCACAAAGATGATATTGGAGCCTTCATGGAATCCCGGCCCAGTTAGAGACTGGAACACCGGATACCTGCCTCGCTCGTGAGGGTCCGCATAGAGGAAGAACTGCGTGTTCTCATCCCAGAAAGTCTCGTTAAATTGTAGGAAGATCTTGGTGTACGTGCTCATGCTGAACGACTGGATGGCCTCCATCTTCCACTGAGGAAGCTCCGGCTCGAATTTAACAACTTCGTTCTGGAGGACACCAAGAGAGAACGTGCAGATAGCGTGCTCGGCTTCGATGCAGCTACCGTCCTCCATTTGAACCTGGACGGAATCATCAGAATAGTTGATGGTGGTGACTTTTTTGCTGAGCATCAGGCGATCGTCCCCATCCTTGAGAAATTCCTTTGCTTCTCCATTGATCATAGCATTGAAACCGCGCTGATCCCAGACGAAGTTGTTCTCGTCACTGAAGTGATTGAACGTGGCATTTTCGCCTGCCACACCGAACAGGAGGCTGCTTGACTCGGGAGGCTGGGCGGCGTTGAAATCCCATCCCCACCACTCGATAGCCTCAGCATGCATATCCTTCTGTGGCCTCCAGCCAGCCAAAGAGAGCCCGGCGCGAACACTGACATCCTGGAGGTTTTCTGTAAGAATGTTTCCTGATTCTGTCTGGCATACAGCATATGCCTCGTCCCATTTGTCCATCAGCTCGAGGTAGTCAGAAGGACCCTTCTCATCGTAGCTGAGGATGGAACTGTAGTTGGAGTAGGTATTGTTAATACCGTACTTCTTTCCTAGAGTCCAAATAGGGTTCTCGGGACCATTGGTAACACCCAACCCTTGGAACCAGTTGGCACCTAACTCCACGGTATAAGGTGTTCCATCGGCTTTCTTGCCGAACTGGGTGTGCGTGACACGGCCTCCAATGTAATCATTTCGGTCAACGATGACAAAGTCGCTGACAGAGGCATTGGCAAGTGCTTGGGCAGCTGTGACACCAGCAACACCAGCCCCGAGAATCGCCACTTTGGTCTTCCGGCATGTGCCTGTGCTGTTGTCTCGCCGGGGGAGGGCCGCCGAGTCAACCCCTAGAGGGAGGAGTAGAGATGCGGCGACAGCTTGAAGTAGGAATGAATGCATAATGTCGAAGATCTATAGAGATTTAACAGTTGCCAAAGAAATGGAGAGCGGCTATTGCCAATGATATGACTGTATAAATACGAAAAGTCGCAACCTGGTTACACGGCATTTTATACCTGGAACTTTTGCTCAACCCGGGCAATTAATTTCTTGTATTTCGCCCTTCCCATACGGAAGACATCCTATCTTTCCCCTTGGAGCTTGGCTCCTTGTTCCGGGTCAAGGATGCTACCTTCTCGCCTCTGTTAGTAAAGTCCCAACGGTTAATTATCACGGCCTAACTGTAGCCAGCTTTGATATGTCATTTCTATGCGGTAGAAGGAGATTAAGCGGTTTCGGATGTTGGCATCCACCTTGATGCTCAGGTACCTCGAACTAGCGGGTGGAATGAATGCGGGGAACGGTGTATTCGTTGGGTAATAGAATCGGACAATTTGATCAATACTTGGGGAAATAGCCGCTTCATTCGCTTCTCCGGACTCGCATTCACTTTCCTTGTTGGTCGTGGTGCGTTGATGAACAGACTCCACCAGTGACTGGCCAGCTCGAAACGGCAATAAGTTGGGCCACGGATCATGGGGCACTTAACCCACTTCTTGAGATAGGAGGCTCTCTCGGCCCGAGAGGATCCATCTGATGATATTAGAAGATTAATTCCTTCGTCTGGGGGTGCTTTTAGCTCCATCTCAAAAGGGGAAGGCAGATGGAGAGCTCAAATACGGGGAAATCCCCATGTTCGTGCATTCGGCTATCTACATGCTGTCTATAGACATAGTTATTTGTCACCGGAGCCAAGATGAGGAATCTCTAGCTTGCGAACGTAAGCATGCTCTTATTCTAGGTAGGTGGCTCCGGTAGTTGAAGAGGCGTGTGACGAAGAAGCTTGCCCTTTTTCTCAGTCACGATTGATCATCTCAGTTTCAACAGGCTTAAAGGCAACCTTGATACTACTCTTCGGCAGAACAGCCGACCGCCATACCAACCCTCTGCTTATAAGATGCCACTGTATTCAAACAAACAGCTTCCATCCTCCCGGCACACCCCTTTGGAAAAGGCCACGGCTATCATACTTCATACTTACGGTCTGTAGAAACTTCTTGTTGTCGCTGCCATAAGAGTCAATGACGTCTTGGTCATCGAACGCAGAGTTCATGTGTATGAAGGGAACCAATGTTCCTCGTGCTGATGCATCACTCTTGATTTGCTCAAGGACTGACTTGACTGTGCCAACCACGAGGTGGTCATCACTAGGGTTATCCCACCAGGTCAAAAGGAGTACAGACATGATGGGACCATGGTTCGGGTCCAGTCCAAGCACATTCCCACCGTTGTTCGATGTCTTCTCGAGGAGGGATTCGGCATACGGCTGGAGAGTGAATGATGATGTGATGTTTTGGACATCAAGGAGAGGCTGAATACCTGCAAGGTAGATGTCTGAAGCGGACTTTAAGGTATCACTATCCATCTTGACGTGCAGGTTCATATATGCAACCCTATTTTATAGAGAGTACCTAGTCAGCGAGAAGTGAAGGATAAAAAGTGTTGCGGGATGTTTAACCTTTGATGCTTTGTGTTCGGAGTCAGCTCATTGGCAGCATCAACGAGTGTCATGTTGCGCATAGAGTTCAGTACGTCGAACTGTGGTTGCACATCGGTGAAGGGCTTCAGGACCTGAGGCGGCTCCGCCGTTGGCGCGGTATAGTAGACTTGGTTAAGGCCTACGGTTCCCCCAAAGGCCTCAAACCGCTTGGAGTATGCGACGCTTATCACCAGATTCGTCTCGGAGGTAGTCGGGGAGTTAAGCTCGTTGACGATGGCATCAACTTGACTCGGGAAGCTCTGAGGAGGATAGAAAACGGTCCCCCCATAAAAGCAGCCTTGTTGGAATGTGCGCATTGTAATTTTAGTCATAATGCCGAAGTTGTTGCCTCCGCCACGCATAGCCTTGTATAAATCGGCGTTTGTCGTGGGGTCTGCGGTAACGACCTGGCCCGAGGCCAAGACAACCTCAAAGCTGATGACATTGTCTGTGATGAAGCCTTCCCGGGAAGAGAAGAAAGAGAGACCACCTATTAGGAAGATTAGCTCAGAAGTGAGAGGAAAAACAGACATTGAAGACAGGAGTTCTTCTAGAAAAAAAGTAAAGACTCACCAGAAAGTACCTGACCGCCAACACCGTTCGTGTTGGTGCGTCCGCCGGCCACACCGAGGCCGAGCGGCTGCAATGTCTGATAGACAGTGCCCCATCTGACACCAGCCTCCAAGGTCACGGAATTGGCTGTGGCATCGACAGTGATGCCCGCCATGTTACGCAGATCAACCGTGACACCTTGGGCCACATTGTTGCAGGCTGGAGTGGGCTGCTGACCCCCTCCTCGAATAGCAATGTAGGCAAGGCCTAGTGTGACGAAGGGCTCGACACATTTGACGAACTTTGCGACATCTGCAGAGGTGCTCGGCAGGAAGATGAGGACAGGCTCGAGTTCACTGTTGAACGTGGACAGGTAATCGCCGTTTAGCTTGTTGTACCGGGGGGTTCCTTGGAACACAAGACTGTCGTCATGGGCCCCAAACTCCTGCACCAGAGCATCGGTGACCGTGGTGCCATTCCTGGGGGCGGAAGCAAGTGAAGGTGTGACTAGCCCTGTAGCATACTGCGCACCAAGGATGCTCAACGCCAACAGTAGGAAGAGATGCGGTGGTTGAAGCATGATTCTGTAAGCGTAGTATCAGAACACAAATGACCGGCTTGCTTTGTCTGTCTAGAGGTTGTCCCCTTGGTATCAGGTAGTTGGGGGAGAAGCAGGACCGGCCCAGTGTTTAGCATTGTGCACCACGAGGGGACTTTAAGGGGTGCCCTCCAGCCAAGTTCAAGGAAGTGCACCGAGTCTTACATTTGGCCTCAGCGGTCTTCTAAAGCCTCTTTGAGAACTCTGTGCAACGCCATTGTAGCCACCAGTCAGTTGAGGCGTCCGTGATGACGCAACATGAATCACATGCGTCCAATAGAGCACATATAGTCTAGCCATGTTTCAATAAATGCCGCACCTACTCTCGGAAGTGAGTAGCCATAGTTTGGAGGCAACGGGTGATACACGCGTGCTTTACTGGAAGCTCGGACAATAGGATGATGTATGAGAAGTAGGTAAGCCGTGGTAGAATCATGCTAATACATTTATATGCGGTAATGGATCTGGGTCAAGAATTTGAATATGTGTTTAAAAGTAGAAGCTCAGCGAGGCTACGACCGGCGCCCTGACATCCATATCAACTACTTAGCCTGGCCATTCTCTCGACTAGAAGATGAACCCTGAGGCTCCTTCTCCTCGTCGATGCCGAACTCTGTCTCAAGCTCGGTCCGGAGCTCCAAGCCCTCCTCACCCGCTACAGCAAAGAAACTCACGATGCTTACACCTATTGCAAACCACCATACCGCTCTTAAAGCTCTCGCGTAGACGTCATTCACCTGGTCCCAGACCTCATTGGGGTATTTATGTTGGAGCACGTGGGCTTGGCTGGCAAACGAATACGCGGCTCCACCACGGAGCGAATCCTGCAGGTGTGCATCCGAGATGCGGTGCAGGTTCATGTCAGCAACTGAGCTGAAGATAATGCCGGGGACGGTGATACCCCAGATAAGACCGAAGTTGCGGATAAAACTGTAAGCAGCCGATGACAAGGCAACATCTGATTCAGGTAAGCCCGCCATGATAGCCGGCAGCATGGTAGACATGGTAACGCCTGTCCCAGCGGCCGCGATGAGCTGAAAGAAGGCCCACGCCACAGTCTTGGTTCCAGAGTCGAGCAAGGTGAAGAGCCCAAAAGCAACAGCGGAAACGGCGAAGGCGGCAGCATGGACCGGACGATACGCACCAAACTTACTTAGCAAAGCGCCGCCGAGAACCGCCGAGAAGAGTGCGCCCATTGCATAAGGCAGAAAGTATGTCCCGGACTGTAAGACGGTTGTGTTAAGCACTCCTTGGAAGTAGACGGGTATCAGATATGTAGTAGCCTGGACGAGCATAGATGAGAGGAACGTTAGGGCAAACGCTGTGGCTGAGGTTCGGTTGGCAAACAGGCGAGATGGCACACTCGGGTGTGTTGCAAAGAAATGCTGATGTAGATGGAAGGCAACCCATCCAAGGATTCCCAAGACCAGGGGTACGATGACACGCCAGGAGGACCACGGGTATTGTACTCCTCCCATGATCAAACCGAATAGGACAGCGAAGAGGCTGGGGATAAGAAGCAAGGCTCCCACGTAGTCTACCTGTTCCTTGATGGCCGTGGTCCAAGGCACATCCGTGGATCGTGGTTGGGGCTTCAGGAAGATGAGAAGTAGTGCCAGGGCAAGGCCGCAGATGGGCAGATTCATCCAGAAGATCCAACGCCAGTCCGACTCGGCGAGAGCACCACCGACGGGAGGGCCAAGGGCAGCGGCCACTCCGGCTCCAGAAAACATCATGCCCAAGTATTTGCCTCGTTCGCGAAGGGGAACCAGATCACAGCACACAATATCGATGAGGACATAGATGCCGCCACCTCCCACGCCCTGGATGGTGCGGCCCGCGATCAACATGCCAACATTGTGGGAGCCGCCACCGATGCCACTGCCCAGGGCGAAGACGACAATGGAGAGTGCGAGAGGGTACCGTCGGCCGAAGATGTCGGCGACCTGACCGAAGAGAGGCTGGAGGACTGTAGAGGAAATGACGAAGCAGTTGGCGATCCAGACAAACTGGGAACCACCGCCTATGTCGGCGGTAATCTTGGGTAGCGCCGTGGCTATGATAGAGACGTCTAGGGCCGAGATGAATGCCAGAACGCAGAGGGAAGCAAAGACGCCCCAGAATCGAACGCCGCGCTGCATCTGAGGAGTCGTGGCCACAGTTTCGTTGTCAGGCAGCTCGGCTGGAGTGTTTTCGGCCATGATGAAGTTCTTTGCCTGTCTGGTTTGAAGGAGGACATAGGCTGAAGAAAGACTGCTGAAAGAGGAGCCGTAGGGGAAACGAGACAACGCACGGCACAACTTCTTATACGCGTGCCAACAGCCAGCACGGCAAAGGGTCAATAGCAGTGCTGCATGTTGTAACCAACCTGCGTGGAGCTAACCGAGTTAAGGCTGTTGGTTGCGAGTCTTGACAGTTTGCGAGGGAGGGTGCATGGTGTATGTGCACGGTGATATCTTACTGCTTATGGCCATTGTATGTCGCGTTGGTCATGACCAGACTCTGTGCCATAATAAGATAGGGTATAGGCAGTGTCCCCTCATTGTCCTCTGCAAACCGTCACCCACTCTCATCCCCATCTTAAGCTCAATCTGTCACCCCAGACTTTACTCAGCCCTCGATCATGACTACCTCTCCAGCTCTATCTGCTTTGCGAGCAGCCTTCCCAGCCGAGCAGATTGCTCTACCGGGAAGTGAAACCTTTGACGCCCGGATCAAGTCATACCTATCTCTATTACAGAGCGAGATCACCCCCAGCGCAATCTTCCTGCCCAAGAGCAAGGATGACGTCGCATCGTTCCTCAAGATTCTCCAAGAGCACGAGGAGACGTTTGCTATTCGCGGTGGTGGCCAGCAGCCTTTGCGCGGCTGCTCCAACATCGAGGGCGGCATAACTCTTGACCTTGTCAACATTACTGGCGTTGACCTCAACCATGATGATAGCATCGTGTCCGTAGGTGCTGGTGAGCGCTGGGGTGCTGTCTATAACAAGCTCCACGAGAAGGGACTCTCCGTCACGGGAGCCCGCTCTGGCAATAACGGTGTTGGCGGACTGGCCTTATCCGGTGGCCTCTCCTTCTTCAGCTCCCGCGAAGGCCTTGTCTGCGACAATGTGGTCAACTACCAAGTTGTCTTGGCGTCTGGACAAGTTGTCGATGCCAACGAAAAGGAGAATGTCGATCTCTTCAAAGCCCTCAGGGGCGGCGGCAATAACTTTGGCGTCGTCACCCGGTTTGACATGAGAACCTTTAAACAGGGGCCCTTCTGGGGTGGCGCTGTATTCTATTTCCCTGACCAATTTCCCGCCCAGATCGACGCTCTCGTTGACGAACTGAACAAGCCAGATGCGTCAGAGGAGACTCATATCATGATTAGTCTATTCTTCGCCGCCCAAATGGGTCAGGTCCTGGGCCTGAATCAGGTCTATTACACCCAAGAGGTCCAGAACCCACCCGATATCCAGCCTTTTGTCGCCATTCAGCCTCAGATGGATCAGCTCAACTCTATGCGCATGACCACTGTCAAAGCCGCGGCGGAGGAACAAGCTGCCATGGCTATGACCGGCGTACGGTATGTTTCTGACTCGTGGTTTTCATTGTTTGATACTTGATGTTGACAGCAATCTAGGTGCGCTTATGTGAATACCACAGTCAAGGCAGATGGCGCTACCCTAAAAGCTGCAGCCAAGATCTTTAGCGAAGCGCTTGAGAAGGTCAAGGGGCTCGAAGGTATTGTGTTTTCATTCACACTACAGCCATACCCGTTGTCGCTTCTCGAGAAGACGAGTCGATTCGGAGGCAATATCCTGAATCTCGGCCCGGAAGATGGCCCTCTGGTTTCGATCCTCATCTTGATGTATTGGAAGAATGCTAGCGATGACGATATAATTCTAACCCAGAGCCGAGAGATCCTTGCAGCCATCGATCAAGATGCGCAGACACGAGGTACTGCTGTTCCCTACAAGTACTTGAACTATGCATTCAGCTTCCAGGATCCAATCGCCTCATATGGAGAGGAGAACAAAAAGGCAATGCTTGAAGTCTCGAAGAAGTACGACCCGAATGGACTTTTTCAGACAGGAGCTGTTGGCGGGTTCAAGCTATCTGTCTAAGTTCTTCAAGTAGATCTGACAAAGCGTGACCCTAATAAGATACGTAAATCGATCGATGTTACTTTGGAATATTGTAGACCGTTTAAACTTAACTGTAATTTGAACATAGTGAAACTGTGAAACTATTTGATGTGAAGCGAGTTGCAAGCTATCATCTCCCATAAAGTCAACCTGAACCATCGCCAGTACTACTCAACAGTTGCCCTCTTCTCTCGACCAGCAAAGACTCCCTAAGCCTCTCCGTCAGCCTATCAAATATCCACTCACTCTCAATTTGAAGACTCAATAGAGGATTCTGATCACCAACCCATGACCAAACCAACTTCTGCGTATCCAAACCTTGGTCTTCCGACTTGTGCTTCTTGATCGGCAAGGTGGCTTTGCAATGTGTTCCCGGTTCACGTTCGTCTTCTCCCAAAAGCTTGAGATACCAGGCCCATTCCTCAAAAGTATATCGGTGAGGCGTAGACTCTTTAAGATGACTGGCAATGACTTGTATCTCGGAGATGAGAAGAAAGTGGAAATTTGTTCCCGTGGGAAGCTCATCATGAGCATTGCGAAATCGGGCATGCCTGCGATCTGGTGGTGCGTTCGTATGTCTTTTGTGATGTCTCTTTGAAGGTTTTCGATGGCTAACCGCATGTGAGGCTGCCTCCGTGCCACCAAGCTCAGCTTCGTGTTTGGACATGAAGTCATTTAGTCTCTGCTTGGAAAAAGATTCAGATGAGGCAATTTCCGGCGATGCAGAATAGATATGGTCCGGAAAGATCCTTCCAAATGTGCTTAGACTGATTATGTGCTGCAAATTTCCCATAAAGCTCTCATCACCTGGAAGAATTGTGATATTCCCCAGTCGAAGGCTGCCATATCGGATGATTTTGACCACCGTATCTCCAGCATGCGAGATGAGCATCGTGATGGTGGGCAAAGCCAATAAGGACCAGAACACGAAGAATGATTTCCCAGCATTAGAGACGGGCGTAAGGTCACCATATCCGATCGTTGTCCAGGACACAAAGGAAAAATAGAATGCATCAAAATATGTCCAACCTTGATACGGAGACTCGGCCTCCATGAAGATGAGGGCACCTATCAGCCATAGGGCGAGCCACAAAGTCGTGGATGTGGTCATCACCATCCATCTTCTCCGAGCAAATGCTTTCTTTTGTATCTTGCGCATTAGATTGAATTCCGCTTTGCGGCGCTCAAACTCGGATGCGAGTGCTTCATCCGATTTAACTCCAGTTGACTGAGATTCTGCCGAGATAGGTTGAAGCAGTTCATCATGTTGTCTCCGTAGCATCGTTCCCACCACCTTCCTTCGAGTTCTCTCCTCTGTCCTGATGATAAAGCGACGTGTTCCGCGATCGACAAATAGTTTCCTGATCGAGTCTATTACCAAGCCTAAACTGATAATGCCGAAGATAACGTAAGGGATTAGGAGAGCTCGGCCGAGTGTAGTGTTCGGAGTATAGTCACCAAAGCCGGCTGTGAACATAGTGACATCTGCCCAGTAAACAGCATCTAGATATTCCCAGCCCTCGATGGCAGAATACACACGAGCACCACACAAGAGGTAGAAGAGAAAAATGATCGTTTGTAACATCAAAGTGCGTTGATTATACGTCAATGTGAATTCCTTTTCGTAGTGGCCGGATAAAGCACCCCAAAAGGTTAGAGCCATCAGTGTAGCATCGATGAAGTAGAGAAAGGCTGCCCAAATGCCATACCAGAATGCTTGAGACCAGATGAGTTCACTTTTTGGAAAGTCGAGTCCTTCGAGGAGCGGCCCTGCGGCAGTGGCACCCATTACAATACGTAGAATAGCTGAAATGTACCTGTGAAATTGTTAGCAAACCCGTTACTTTATAAGCATCTTGTTTGCCGCATACCATCCAACTATCGTGATCGGCTGTGCTATGCTAAAACGGACCCTTCTTGCCATGTTGAGGAACAGAACAAAGTTGGAGGCGACAGCGATAGCAAGCTGGACAGCATTGACAATTTTGAGCCTATATGTTCACGTATTAGAATCGTATCGACTTTGAAATCTTCCAGGACATATTAAAGCTACCTACCACGATGGATTAGGGATGGTGGGAGCGGTTTGGATATCTCCTCCTGGTACCAGCAGCTGCCGCCACGGTTGAGACATGGCGCAAATGCTGAACGCTGAAGCTACTGGGCCGAGGGTTCCAGCCATCATAGGAAACAGCATGGATAGAAACCACCAACGCCTGCAAGGCTGTCCGGTCAGTACATCGTATCCGTTTCAGGCAGAACGGTAGATGGACTTGTGTAACTTACCCTGGTTCCAGATGTGAATCTTCATTATGCAGTCTCCTCTTCCCGGAGCCAAACTCCTGGTTTCTCTGGGCTTCAATGTCAATCTTTCTGCTCAGATCCGATCCCCCCACTGACGAATTCGGCATCGTTCTTTGATAGCCTCGTCAAAATCATGAAGCTGGATATCATGTATGTTCGCCCACTTGAAGCGAGTTGCTCCCAGACTGGCTCTCTCGTCTTATTGACACGGAGCCGTAGATATTAAGACAAGGCCCGTCAGAACCGTGGGGGAACACGGGAGGATGACGTCGTGTTCTCACTTCGGCGACTGGCATTTAAACTCTGTGAGCATCACCCGCTAACCTCAAAAAATGATAGGAGGGTATCTTAGTTGAAACTCTTTTCAGAGTGTCACTAACCAGTTCAATTCAGCTGAGGTGTCACGAAAAGAACCGTCAAATATGCAAGCACAACAGAGACGAATTGCATGGTTCAACTGAGTCTCTAGGAGATATTGATGCGCTAAGATCGATGGCATAGGTAGGCCCGGAAACAGCGCTTCAGCCCCTAGATACAGCTCGTCAGCACGGTCCATTGGTGCAGCCAGGCGCTGTGGGAAGTTTACGCAGAAAGCCTAGCGCTAATTTCGATGGCTAGCTGAGTCAGCTCCATTTTTTGTTCACATCTCGTTTTTTCGTACCTCGATTGAGGGCATTTGCTCCCAGGCGACGACCGTTTCTATCGAAACTCTATATTATGCTTGCTTAGTCTTTCTACAGTCGTCTATAGGGCAGCGGATCTTGGCGCTATGGAGGTTTGATCGGTGTTTCGGCTGTTGGTTCAATATTTATGCTAACATGAATGGAACGCACCACTTACACCACCAAGCTAGATAGTTGTACTGGGAGACCAACAGAATGTTATCTGCGAACAATCGATATTGTCATCATAGGTAGTCTAGGGCGATTATTTATGTTCGGTAAATTGAATTGATGAGCACAGGGAGAAATTTTAGCCTATTTCCATGATGTGGACAGGGTGTTCTAGGGTAGCCGTGAGATGTTGGCCAATGCGGAATAGCTGAGTTATAAGCTTAAAGCACAGATCAAGATGGCTAGGGTTATAGGTGAGGCGGGTCGACTCCCACGAAGCTGTACATTTTCTGCTAGAGATATCCCTTGGTTGCTAGTGCCTCTATAGAAACTCTGACCATCTATAATGGTGTAATTGTAAATGAACTATTTTTGCTCTAACTTGATACAGCAGCTTTACAAATATAGCTGGCCAAGCCTCGTTTCTTCTCCAATGTTCCTCTTCTCAACTACAAGAAAAACGAACTAATGCCAATTGATTGCTGAATAGTTCATGTTCAGTAAGGGGTAGTAGTTCTAGTAGAGATAGGATGCTGGTCGTAGTATAACAGAACTGAATTGAAATATTCGTGTCTAACGTGTCTTCTAATATTGACTGTCACCATATGTCTACAAACCCCAGGGTATACACACTATTGAGCCAGCCCAGAGCTTACAACCTTGCATGACAGCATCCTGCCGATGAAGAAGATGACTTGTGGCTGACAACTGGATGCGACTGCACCACCAGTGTACTCTTATTCACTGCCTGCGTGCTTTGGGGCACGTCGAGCGCAGGGTTCGCAGTGAAGAAGTCCGCCGGCTTCAGGGAAATAGTTGAAACTTCCACAGGCATGACAGGGAAATCCTCCACTCGCGGGTTATGTGTCATGCCAAAAGTATGCCAAATCACAATATCCTGATCTCGCACATCTTCATCCCTGGATGCATAGTCTGCCACGCCATCTGTCTCTTGGAGTGACTGATTCGTCCACCTGCCGCCCGCCCACAGATCGCCATCTCGGTAGCGGGTTACCCACATGTGATGCTCTGCAAAGCGGGCTCGCTTGCGGACGACAGAGTTCTGGCCTGCCAGGAGCAGCTGGCATGGCTGTGGTACGAGCTTGAAGCCGACGGGGTTGTCTGAGATGGGGTTGCGCACCGACTCATTGACAATCTTGAAGCAGCGGTTGGTGAAGGGGGAGGCGTCGGCGAATCCTGACTTGGCAAAGGGTGTCTTGACCACGCGCCATGCGTTGCCGTGAGGATTCTCTTCCTCTGATTGCGGCACTGGGATTGATTCCTCCTGGATTAGGGAGTTGTTGTGTCCATCAAGCATAGGATCGACACGGAGCGAGAACAGATGCTGGTGATTTGCAGCCAAGACACCAGCAGAGACGACATTGCCCCATTCAGATGTCTTACCGGGGTCGATCAGCGAGGTCGAGAGAATGCCAGTCGCCCGTGTCTCCATCTCGATGTTGCCGTTTTGCCAAAAGATCCACGCGAAGATGTACTCATAGTTTCCTACCGTCAAGATGCTCTGGAATATGAGGTTCCTCGCCCTTGTGATGGCCACGCCTTGTGTGCGATGGTTGGTGTGCTTCCATCCAATACCACCGTCTTGCTCATGCAGACAGATGACGTTTCCTGCCTCAACTGGCTCACCGTCCTCGTTGTTGAGCCACCCGCCAAAGTACTTGATCGTTCCAAGGCAATCACACCCTAGTGCCAGGTTGTTTGCTGTGCTTCCGGCACCGGCGTCACCGAGATCGAAAGCCTGCTTTCTGTGAAAGGGACTACGGGGGTCTAAAGGGCGAATTGTTAGTCGCTTGAAAATAGGTAGAGGGTGATACACTTACCTCCGTAAGGAACTGTCATCTCGCTGATGCTCAGACGGTAGAACATGGGGCGGCCGTCGTATCTGATGTCATGCAAGGTCAAGCCTTCTCGGTAGTTGAAGCCGACCCTGATCCTCCATTTCTGCCACGATACACAGTTGGTATCGGTGATTGTGAATGAGGGTCCCTCGGGCTGTTCAACGTGTAATGGCTTTACATCGTCGCGTGTCTTTGAGCTCTGCAATCCAGGGTAATACTCGTTCTTTGCACAGTGTGCCATGGGTTCTTCTCCGGCAGTGTGATATTTGAGGCCGTCCTCCTTACCACCTGAAGCAAGAGGCTCCAGACGCACAATCTGATCCTCAAAGACATCAAGGACAGGGGAGAATGGAAGGGGAAAGGAGTACTGATTACTCTCGGGGTGCCCATTGGGGGCACGGGCGTAGAGAAGACCCTGGATGTACTTGTGAGTTTCCAGGGTTGAATCACGATCGGCACCGTATGGCCAGCAATCGCACTGGACTACACATGACTCTGGAAGGTTGAGATTCTTGATAGCCTCCTTGACAATAACATCATCTAATATTTTGCGTGCTGATTTGCGCATTTCATCTCTTCATGTTCATTCACGTTAACATTGTGGATGGTTTTGACTAAGTGATACTGACGGGCTGACCTGTCAAGAGATGAATGTTGCCCAGGGGCAGCCTGGATCCGCACCACTTCAGTGAAGCTGTCGAGACTGATGGTGCTTTGGCAGAGTGTTCGTTCATTGCCAGACGTCCAGACAATGTCGGCGCAACGGGGGACGAATGGCCTGTGCTTGGCATCCACGCCGGCGGCCTCGGCGTCGAGGTACGGAAGAAGCAGGGCCTTGGGGGGTTCCTGGATGCTGACGTTCTTGAACCTGAACTTGAAGTCAGGCCCATGTCTCTCTCGGAGAATGGCCTTGAGCAAGGTGGAGGCTTGGGTAATCTCCTCTGCTGTTATTGAATGTAGAGGGTGAGGGCGAGTCATGGTTGCAAGGTTTGCGGTGTGATATTGACCAGGTGATGAGCTGGGCGCACGGATTGAAAAGTGCTGGGTTCTGACGGTGTTGTGAATGAGATGAAGCATCGGCGCTTTCTATAGCTGAAGTGTTTGATGCAAATCATGGGAGCCGCCGAATATGATCATCTTGGGCGCTTCGAGCGCTTCCCGCCGTTGCCGCCGCCCGCCATTTCCGCTTATCTCGCAACTTTGATCATACTCAGCGGCACCGGCGTAGATAAGCGGTTAATTGGGCTAATTTAGCATTGAATCAGAGTAAGAGCTGTTATCAATCATGACTTTGTGGTCCAATAATGTCATTTGTAGATAATCATGCCAGTCATGAGTCGAAGATGATCATGTGGCGGCTAGATATTGACTGCTGCAGGGGAAACACGCCTATCCTACAAGAAGTAACAATGAAATACTGTCTACGGTTCTACGCAGCCAAGGGAGTGAGGCCTTCAGATAGGCTTGTTATCCCTGTCTCGACCTTCTATCGTTTTGATTAGATGCTTCCGACACTCTCAACATAACAGAGGCTGGAGCAGACTATTGATGTGCTAATCAGCCTTGTTGTTCACACACGGGCCTGTTGTTTGATAAAATTCTATAAATGTAAATTTATTGTCGCGGAGTGGAATTCTTTTGAATGAGAGTGATTGGAAGGAAACTCGTGTACAAAGTTTTAATAGGAGGCGCTACTGCTACTGCCTACGGTTTTCCATTTGGCTTCTTCTTTCCCATCGTATTGTTCTTTTTGAGATGCACTGATGTTGAGGTTCAGTGTACCTATGTGTGGTTAAGCAGATCTGCTGAGAGCCCGGTGGGATATTTGAGACTTGAGTGTGCATAAATTTTCCACCGTCTCGAAATATGTCCCTTCCTTCCTCCTCTCCTCCCCCATTGTGTGTAAAGGTTATGTCAAGCCAAGCAACCTCGGTAGCTGTTTCACGCGAAACAGCTAGAGACAGCGGCGGTTGCGATCGCCATTCCGTAGTGAATCGCTCTTGGTTTTAACGAAAGACAGCCAACTGGTGTATTTAATACGCGTTTCAATATTTCTTGAAATATTCCTCTTTAGAGCAGTCAGCTCTGTTAGGAACATAGCTTCCAAAGTTGAGTAGATTACCTAGCTGTCGCATGCTAAGCGTCTTGAGCGAGCCTATTGCCTTTGCAGCCTAGCTAACCGCTTCAAAGAGGAGCATTTCAAGAGTATCGAAATCCAGGCTAAATACAGGAGTTGGCTGTCTTTCGCTAAAACCAAAAGCGATTCACTGAGGAATGGTAATCGCAACCGCCGCTGCCTCTAGCTGGGTGAAGACAGGTGCCGAGGTTGCCTGGCTTGACATAACCTTTACACACAAATGGGAAGGCGTGGAGGAAGGAAGGGGCATTGGTGACTTGAGTGTGCGCAGCGACGTGCGATTCTGACAAGGAGTCGATTGATTCGACTGGGTAGCGATGTGTGGGAGTTAACTAATTAGACTGACGACGGAGGGAGCGATGTGTAACTCTTGACTTGTCTGTGAGCAGCGATTTGCAGGCGGATCGTCGATATGGACTTGAATTGTGCGGTTCATTCAGCACAGAGATGGCGGCCATTAAATAGCTAGAAAGCAGCATCTTAAGGTTCATGAAAGGAGTCATACCGACGAAAGAGTCATTGCTGGGTAGCCTTGCTGGCGTTGAACCTTCTATACGGCTGGGCACAAGCCTCGTACCCGGGCAAAAAAGTTGAAGTTTAATATGTTGATATTGAGGATGGTGTCAAATTATCAAATTCTTGGTATTTGGGAATTCCCCCCTTTTTTTCAGCAGCTGCCGCATAAATGGATAGCTCTCTCACTTGCTACTAAGTTGCTATCAAATCTTGGACTTCACGTCTAGACTATGTAGAGCATCCTTGACAGATGACTGAAGGCTAATCCATTTAATTCCCATCATATCCTCAATCTTTTTGGCCCTGATGGAATAATAGTCATCGGCCGGAGACATGCTCTCCGCCGAGGCGACGCCACTCTCGTAAATCTCCTTAATGGCCGCCCAGGTAAACTTACCAGCACAGACAACAAAGCGCTCGCTGTTGGGGATTCTGGCGACGTCCAAGGCGTCGACATGCGCCTGGGCGACATCTCGCACGTCAACAAACACTGGCATCCTTGTGGGTGTGGGGTCTGCGCTGGTCACGGCGTTGAGTAGTTGCGCCGAGGATTCATTGAGGGCATCCTTGGTGATACCCGAGGCTGGGTGGACGGGTCCAAAAATCATGGGAGGGCAGATTGTGACGAGTGAAGGTGTTTTCTCGTTTCCGACATTGGATTTGATGAAGTCCCATGCGGCCTTTTCCGCGAATGTTTTGCTGGCCTGGTACCCAAAGAGGTTATTCTCCAACGCCTTTTCGGGAGTCATTGGGTTCCAATCCTCTTCTGCTCTGGGTTTTAGCATAGTACTTAGTCAGATTTTTGGATGCCAGTGCATATGTTCACGTACCTGTGTATGCATATCCAGCCCGTGGTCCCTTTGTTGGGTCTACAACCGCAGCAAAAGATGATGTGAGCACTACACGCTTCACAGTGCTGCTGGAAGCAATGGCTTCGAGCATCCGGGTTGTGCCCTCCACTGCCGGCTGAATCAAGTCCTTGTTAATGTCCGTAACCTTGAAGGTGAAAGGAGAGGCTGTGTGGATGACAAAGTCAGCACCCACAATGGCTTCCATAAAGGCGCCGGGTGCTGTGATGTCTGCGACGATGCATGTCTCAACATTGTTGCCGCCGAGTATGTTTTTGAACAGCTGGCTCTTTGAGTCGCTGCGGAATGTAGCCCTGATTTTATACCCCTGAATAATCAGACGGGCTGCAATGTGGCTGCCCAGGAAGCCAGAAGCTCCGGTAATCTTATCACGTTCCACTGGATTAGAACTGCGTGCTTCATAATTTGGTGCGGTAGGGCATTGTCAACTTACAAGTACAGTACCCTTGGACATTGTGCTTATCTTCCCGGCGATTCACCCTGGTTTTTCTTCAGAGCTAGGATAAAGCTGCGAGACGGAAAGTGGCAGTATTTTTGCTCTGCCTGCCATATCTCCAGATATTTGTTTCAAAGTGGTTTCCCATAGCCATCCTGGAACCAGGCGTGTAAAATTGTCAACAGATTACGAGAGAAGCATAACAACCAATCATGATCCAACAAATCCCCGCTGGCTTCTTATCTTTAGCCGCTGGCGCCGGATGCCGCTATCGGTCCAGCCTTGTCCATTATGATAACAAAGAATGTAACTACTGGGAATCTACCCGCCCTCGAATATTGCTTCTTGAATTCCCTAGTGACTTAGCTTAAATGTAATCGAGAATTTAGGTATTGCTATCGTAATGATCTAGTAGTCAGGTTTAGTAGTAAGTAAGGGAGCTGTACAGCTGCTAAAAAAAAAAGGGGAAATTCCCAGATACTAGTAATTTAATAACTTAATACTATACCTAGGTATTATAATATAATAAACTTCAGTCTTATAGTTATAAGCCTTATACCTAGCTATATCTAAGGTTTAATATTAAAATAACTATACTTATATTATATATAAGGTTTATTAATATTAAAAGCTATATCTAGTAGTAACTCTTTTACTAGTATAACTCCTTTTATAAACCTTAAGATATTAATTTTTATCTATAAAGGCTGCTATTATTAGCCTGGTTCTAAATAAATTATATAGCTTAAGTCTATATTAATAATCTTTATAAATTACTACTCTTACTTTTAAATAATCTAAATACTATTACTATCTTTATTACTCTAAGATAAGTTAAGTACTATTACTACCTTTATTACTCTACTATATAATACTACTTTTACTATCAGTTAACTCCTTATCAGGATTATATATTATTACCTTTATTAGTATACTTAAGTCTCTGAACTTAGAGAGTAGTTATTAGTATAGTTAGCTTCCTATTATAAAGATAAAAGAAACTTATATATATATATATATATATCTTAGTCTAAGAAGAAATATAATAAGAAAGAAGAAAGTAAACTAATAATAGATACTAATAGTAGTTCTATATATTTAGTCTAACTAGCTAGATATTAAAAATATTATAACTTAGCTAAAGATTAATATAAGTAATCCTAAGTTTATAGGATTTACTAAGACTATAAATAAACTAAAGGTTAAAGAACCTTTAAAGCTTAGTATAGAATAGACTATTAAGCTATTTAAGCTAGATAGTAATATCCTCAGCTGAAATAACTACTTTAAAGAGGAGTATTTTATAATAGGGAGTCTACTAGAGGATAAGTATAGCCCTTAGCTAACTTATCTAATATTAAAATATAATTTATTACAGATAGGTAATTATAACCGCTGCTACCTCTAGCTGCTTTATATAAAGATAGCTACTAAGGTTATCTGGGTTAGAAGAAATATAACTGGAGAGGGGAGAAGGAAAACAGGGTAAGGGATAGATAGCTAGGTAAGCTAAATATAAGCCTACTGTCTCTCTCAAACACACGAACGTACACACATACACTTGTCCTCGTAGCCCCCCCCGTAGTCAGGTTTATAGTATTCTTGAGTTGATTGCTCTGGCTGTGACTAACCCTTTGCATTCCTTGGTAAGATCTGATAGTCAACTTGACTCTAACCTGTAGTTAGCAGAGGAGATAAACCCTGAAATTAGCACATCTATTAAAGAGTCATCTTCATGAATTTGAACATAGTAAATTATTTACTCGATTGGATGTTGAAAGCCGGGATCGATACCCACAAAACTAGCAGAATTGCCATTACTCATGCGTGTCACTATCTTGATATGGGAGAGGGAATCTCCGATAACGTCCCCAACTCACCCCTGTCTTGCTTCCCCACGTTTCGTCCCCTCGATCTCGCCAAATTCGACTCATCACTCACCCATCAGCTCATTCTGCTCCTTTCTCGTCTGATTTTCCAACTCGGCGATCCTGGAGAACCGCTATCCCCCAGAGTCCCCACCAATGTCCGAGACTCTAACCCACATTGGCCCCAGACGGCCACGCCGATATGCGCCCCGAACACGTCTGGGATGTTTGACATGCCGGAGGCGGAAGAAGAAGTGCCCCGCCGACGGCCCTGAGTGTCGGACATGTGTCAGACTGAGTCTTGACTGCGAGTGGGACAACAGGAGACACTTCCCTACCTCTGGGCCTAGTCCAGCGAGCACGGCCGCCGGAGAGGATGGGCGGCCTTCATCAGAGCCGGATCACGACCTTCCACTCACAGTTACCGAGCTATCAGCGGCAATTCCTCCTTCGCCATCAGTCCTACCAGCCATGACCGATGCTGGTGACCAGAACATGTTACTATCCTATTATATACACTCCTTTGTCCCCAACATCTCTGTCGTGCATACCTCTTCCAACTTCTTCACGTCGGTATATGTTCCGATGGCATTCCGATGTGAACCAGTCTTACAGGCTATCCTGGCATGTTCAGCTGCACACCTTGCCAAAGGAGCTCCGAATTCAGACGATCAAGCTCGACTTCTTGAACTCTCTCTGCGTTCCCAGGTCCGATGCCATCGGTTCTTACAGGAACGTATCAGTCTCACTGGTCGATTGCAGTCGGATCATATTGAAGCTATTGCCATCATTCTTCTACTCGTGGGACTGGAAGTCCAAAACGGCGCCAATACTGGCAAATGGGTCTGCCAACTTGACTGTGTACGCAACGTGATCAAACAATCTGGCGGAAACGGTGTGTTTTGCAGACGGTCCTGGGAAGCAGAGGCTCTATACGAGCATTTCCTCTACCACGACGTTATGAGTCTAATCATGTCTGGAGTGGCAGGGTCCGAGACCGATGAATTAGAGGCTACTTCTCCCTCCGACATTGCTGCCTCTTCGCCATTGCCGTTTTCCGAAGCGGAAGTGCCTTGGGCTAGATTCCTCCCGCAAGACAGACAACGCTCGAGTTCATCTTCCTCGTCCTCCAGCAAGCGAAGGCCGGCGTCATCTACGTCCATTCATCCACTTCTGGGGTTGTCAAAGGATTTATTTTTCCTCATACAGAAAATCCCTCGCGTTAAGCCTGTCCAAAGCGAGGGAGAAGGATGCCTGAATCCAGCCGAGAATGAACTCTTTCTAAATCTGGAGAGGCAATTCGTCGACCTTCGATTCGACCTTGCCGGCGATGCTTGCGGAGGAATCGACTTGGCCGCGCGGCTCGACCTCGTGGTTTTAGCAAAGACTTACCGTCTCGCAGCACTCATTCTTCTCTACCGGCGATCCTGCGTGCACGAAGACCAGATTCCTCTCCTGGCACAGCGCATTATTAGTTTTGCGGAGCGTATTTCCGAGGGAAATGCGGCCGAGGCTGGACTCACTTACCCGCTGTTTCTGGCCGGGGCTGAATTGGTTGATGAAGAAAGTATTGTTGTTTGCGCGACAAAACTGATGAAGATCAGGGAGAGAATAAAGGTTATGAATATACAGTCGGCCGAGGAAGTCTTACAAGAAGTCTGGAGAGACCGGTTGAACGGTGGACCTTACCGAGACTGGGAGAATGTTCTTCGCAACTGGAAGTGGGTGATAAATTTGGGTTAGGACGTGTCACGATATCATGATTCCATGTAGAGGGCTTTATAGCGAGGCAATTGAAATTGATCTCCATTTTTAATTGACATTCTACCTCTCGCCTATTATTGCCTCCTAAGAGATCTAAGACAGCAAAGCGCCCTCAATTATCTTGGCAGCTAGCAGAAGCTCTTCGTCGCGGTGATGCTTCCCAACCAGCTGAAGTGACACCGGGATACCATGGAACAGCTCTGGGTCGTCTGAAAACAAACGTTAGCAAATAAAACACGTTATAAGCGAGCCTGGAAAAAAACTCACAAGCTTCCCATTCCTTCTTGTCCACGTCAGACCGCGGTTCGTAAGCGGCATCGGCTTTGTCAAGCTCCTTATCGGTGATGATGTGACTTGGAAAGCTGACAGCCGGCTGATCGAGGGCATTCCATATTGAGGTATATAGCCAATATGTCGGTGTTCCTTGAACGGCTCCTACTCCTGCGTACGACGGACATAGGATGACATCCACGCCCCTTTCTCTCATGAGAGCATGGTATTCGCGACGCAGCTTCTCGCGTCTCATATTTAGCTCCCAGCTTTTGTGGGTGGTCAGCGGCTCACTGCTTCCTCGGGTGAGCGCAAATTCTGTGAGCGGCATCACAGGTTCACCCGACTCGTTGATTACCGCCCGGACACGTTCCCCGCCATCCGCAAAGTAAAGTTGCCTCTTTGGTTATGATTAATTTGCGAAACACCCTCACTGTTTTAGAAGAGATGCGATGCGTACCAGAATCTCCCAGCCTTCGGAGTGATTGTGAGGTTCCCAGCGAACAGTTTTAATACCTGCTGCTCTCAATTTCTTCTCGGCCTCGACAAGAGCTCTTGTTACCGGCGGGTGAGGACGGACGAGCCTTTTGAGATCAGCTATATTCAAATCAGGAGAAAAGTGGATGATTTACCCATCATCTAACAAAATTCCAACAGTCAAAGTACTTGGGGAGACTTCGACTTCTCGCCAGGAGAGAGGGACCAGAACGGTGTCAGTCTCCCAAGGCTGTTGATTCCATATTACCTTCTCGAATGTAATCAGGTCATCGAGGTTCCGTGCTAGAGGGCCAACGCAACCTCGAATGCCCTCCTGGCCGCCCATAGCTCCGACTAGACCGAGGGATGGATTTCGCAACGCGGTTGGCTTGAAACCATAGGCGTTACAGAACGCAGCCGGCACTCTGATTGATCCGCCGATATCTGTGCCAACACCAAGAACGGAGCAACGAAACCCAATGGCGGCGCCCTCACCACCGGATGATCCACCGGGGCTAAGTCGTTCATCCAGTGGGTTGAGAGTCATTCCGGTGATATTGTTATTGCAGTCTAGATGCTGCGAAGATGTAAATCATCAGACTTTGATAACGTGGTGATCTCAGGGCGGCTACTGCATCAGTAGGTACATACCATGATGCTTTGGGGCTGGTTGGTCCTGACATGGATGACCGCCCCAGCTGCTTTCAAGAGTTTAACAATAAGAGCATCTTCTTCAACTATATTGTCGATTTTTGATACAAAGCTTGCGTTGCATCTTTTACGACCGATACCGACGTGTTCCTTTTACATATCAAGTTAGCGACGCACGCAGTATCGGGGAATTTTGACCTACCTTGACTGAGACAGGTACACCATGAAGAGGGCCTATGAGAGTGCCTGTCTCGCGAAAATATTTGTCCAGATTTCTAGCTGTGTTTATTGCCGACTCTGCTAAAAACTCTGTCGCAAAATTTAACTGGTCGGCACTCTTCAGCAAATGTTCGATGCTGAATTGTAACGGGGAATGACGAACCAACTGATGTCCTACTGTAGCTCTCTTGAGATATGCCGTGATAACAGCTTCCGCTGTCCAAGAACCTTTCTTGTACTTCTCTAATAAACCATCTGCAGTCGTGTTGGTCATCTCAATCTCATGATCAGTGAGAAGACCACAATTTTCTACAGCAACCGTCACATTTCGAGTTCCGTCTGTCTGAAGCAATGTTGGATCTGCCAGCCATTGCTTCGGAATCGAATTTTCAAGAATGTCTCGTGCGATCTGTGCCTTGGTTTCCCAAGAGGCCTGCTGACTGGTCGACATCGCTGAAACTGGTTATCATCTGGTGATAAGGGGACCCAAACCATGTTTCAAGGGCATCAGTTATGAGATATTCTAGCTTCAATAGTTTCCTTTTGTCTCCTCCTAAGGTATTACAGAAAAATCTGTCTTGTCGATTGAATGACAATCATATTGTTGATAAGATACAGCCAGATTTGAAGCTTATCTACCCGCCCATCTCGGCGGCAACTGGGCGCTTAGAGATAAGATTACCCAAAGCGTTGATTGACTCTTGTTTACTAACTCAGGTTGGTTCTAGTGGATACGACTTACAAGCGGAGGCCCCGGATTTGACATGGCCGAGGTCTGTTCAACTAACTTTAGTCTAGACCAGCAGCGGACGAGGCAAAGGGATTCTGATAAGCAGACAGTCAAACGATGGCCATGGCTTGATAGGACACAGACGTTTAACAATATCCATCACTTCCGTGGCGATACATATAATGCCAGTCGATGCCTCACTACATCTCTAGGAATGAAGGCAAGCCCAAGGCCTATTAGCAATCCCTTCATCAACAAGACAGCTAGACGCGATGGAGAGCACAGATATGAAGACGCCCGGCACAGTCCAGCTCATTGACCTCAAACAGGCCTCAGACTCGAAGCATTCATCCGACGTCAACGCGGCAGACATCATCTTGATCCCAACGCCAACAGATGATCCCGAAGATCCTTTGAACTGGAGCTTCCATCGAAAAATACTCTCTACATCATGTGTTTTCGTGTTAGTCGCATCTACCTTTCCAAACTGGACTTTTCATCCCATCTTGCTAACATCCACTACCCAGATATACGGTCATGGTTGTCCTGCCGTCTACAACCGTGTATTCCGTGACGAATCCGATTTCCAAGAGCACCTCTCTTTCGATCGATAACTTGATAACAGGATTAGGAATCATGGTAATTTTTTCCCTTAGCTTTGCAGAGCCTGACAAAAAGATTGGGGGCTAAGTGTTGTCTAGTTTCTATTCGCAGGCTGGGCATGCATTCCATGGTACGTCAGATCCTTCTCCCCAGTGCCCCATTTTCAGCTACCTAACTTGAAACAGGCAAGCCGTCGCCCTTCAGTACGGAAAGAGACCGGTTTACTTGGTTTCTAGTGCTGGGCTTGTTGTCAGTACAACCTAGTTCTAATATACCCAACTCATACTCACGAAGGTTTGTTTTAGGTTGTCATGGCACTTGCACCAAGGTGCAAAACTTGGGGCCCGTATCTTGCAAATAAGATTCTCCATGGTTTCTTGACAGCACCGGTTGAGTCACTTTGTGAGATTTCTATCACTGATGTTGTATGTTCTCCCATGTGATATTCCAATCTTTACATAGTATGTCGGCGACTAACGCAATTCAGTGGTTCGCCCACGAGCGACCTCGATATCTGGCCCTATATGGATTTGCCCTTGCTTTTGCTGGAAAGTTCGCCCCCACATTGGCTGGTTTCATCAACGACGGGCAAGGTTGGGAATGGACCTTGGTAAGTCTCTAATATCCAGTTTTCTGTATCTTTGGTGATCTGGGCTCATTCATAACAGTATTGGTCTGGAATTTGGGTTGGATTCGCGTTTCTGTACTGCCTCTTTCTGATGGAGGAGACGACTTACGATCGGCCAAAGAACAACTCGAGATCGACCGTCAATACCTCCGATACTAACACGATCGATGCCGAAGCGACTGCCCCAGAGAAGAAGACTGCAGAGGTGAACGCCACGAATCAGGATGTTGAGAACGGGCAGGTTTATACCAAGAAGACGTACTGGCATAAGCTCAGTGTCTGGCCCCAAAGCCGCCCCAACCGACTCCTCCGCACCATGTGGGCGCCGTTGAGATTCTTCTCATATCCCATCGTGGTATATGCAGGCCTCATGTATGGCGCCAATGGCCTTGTGTGGTCCAGCATCCTCAACTCTACGGCCGGGACTTTGTATCCCAGGGTATATGGTTTCTCGACTTCTGGAATCGCCCTTGCATATCTTGGAGGCGTAGTGGGTGTCATTGTTGGGTAAGTCTGCATTGAAGCTCAGAATGAGCCTTGATTTGTCCATCGTGGTATGCTAACAACAAGAGTCAGTGCCTTATATTGTGGCAAGTTGGGTGAAGTGTTGGTGATTCGCCTGGCTAGAAGAAATAATGGCATCTCGGAGCCCGAGCATATCCTCTGGACGTTCATCGCCTCTCTGACGATGGTCCCCTTCTCCCTAATTCTCTGGGGCCTCGGTGGAACCTACGGAATTCACTGGTTCGGCATGGTATTCGCCCAGTTTACTCTGTCGATCTCCAATGCCATTGCCTGTCCGATGGCGCTGGCATATGCAATTAGCTCTTATCCGGAGTTGAGCGGTGAATTAGTCACGACTGCGGTCATCATCCGTAACACAATGAGCTTTGCGATCAACTACGCGTAAGTGACCCCCCTGTAACTATAAACTGATGAGAGAGGCTTAAAATCTGACTCGAAAATCGCAGAATTACTCCTTGGATCAAGGCTCAAGGATTTAGAGACACCTTCATCACCGCTGCCGCAATCGGGTTCGTCTTCAATGCTTCCATGTTTGGAATGATTCGATATGGGAAGAAGCTTCGGGAGATGAGCGCAGTTAGATACTGGAAAACAGTAGAGGAATCTGGAGGCGGTCACTAATAGTTCCCCAAATTCAAGAAGAAGCATGGGGTAATACACCTTCCGCTTCAATGATCTTGAACAAGCCGCCACGTAGTACCAATGGATCCTTTTTACATATACATCCAATGTTTGAATGCTGTGCTAAATTAAATAAGTTAGAACTCGCGTGATCTATCTACCCATCCGATGTTTTGTTTTCTTACTCCCCATCGATGGAAACCCAGACAGTTTCATCTCCACCCCTTGCTCGCCGTTTTACTTAGCGTCAAACATAATGATATGCTGAAAGATGTGGAAGGATTGATCCAAGCTGGCGGAACTTTGTAAGAAAAGGGGGGGGGCTTGCTCCGGCATGTAGACAACGCCAAGTGCAGGTAGGTACAGAGATGGGGCTACTTCGACCTCTAGCTCTTGGGATCCGCTACTCTCGCCGATTCATCGGGCAGTAGTCCTGTTGCCACTGGCTTGGAACTGAGCAGAGGTACGTCATGTGCAAAAGTTCTCATTTCAGCTTCTTCAGGGGCGTCATAAAAGCGTTCTCCCACGGAGTAAAAAGACCACAACGATGTGAACCTGTTAACATGCTGTGTACGTCAGATCAGGGACTTTTCTTTCTTCCCCAAGGTAGACGGAAGAACACAGATCTAGGCTACGGCTTACTATAACAGGTGCGCTCTTCTGATAAGATACGTTCCACATTCCGAAGTCTTATACGGATATGAACGTCATAGGGCGTTTAGAGTAGGGTGATCTTTGAGGAGAAGGTGTTGCCGCCCCCGAATGCTCACAGACAAAATCATATGCACTTGAGATATCACATATCCTTTAAGGTCGAGACAAAATCATTCAGAGAGCCCAACAAACGACATTCATTGGAATTGGGCGGATGAATACGAGCTCAAGGCCAAGGTCAAGAAGAAAACAATGAAGTACCAGACCTGCAATCGATCATTATGTCTAAGCTGCGCAAGAAGTATCAGCGTGTCGGACGCTCACTTAATGAACGAAAATACTGTTTTCCATGGAAAGATCCATCGCAAATTCCGAAGCGCCGAACGTTAAACATGTTGGAGCGTGAGGTAAGAGAGGTGCCGCTTGATCCGGAGGGGTCGCCGTGATACCGCCGTGCTCAGCAACTCAGCCCGTGGCCACACATTCATTCTACCACTCTCTTTTTCGGCACGTTCGAGGCCGACTAGAGCTGGCGAGGCGCCTGAGTGTCTGTTGTGTTTGATGTGTCTAACGATGAACGGTGATAGATCCGACATTAGCAAGAAACACATAGCGACAGAACAGACCCGAGGAGCGCGACGGAGGTGCAATCCTTTACATAAAGAAACAAAACAGGATCCAAGCAAGCAGCTTGTTTATTGCACGTGGATGATTGGACGTCGTTGATTTGTTCCCTGAATTGAGTTTCGTTTAGTGTCGCAAGCCGCAACCCAAACCCGATGTTAGCAGATATTCGTTGGTCGGCGAATTCAGACGCAGTCAGGATGATAAGAGCCGAACTTCCGATGTGAAGTCAGCAAGAGCAGATTCTCTATGATATAATTACTCGATCATCTGCTTGAACGGAAAAAAAGAATTGGGATGCAGTCGGCATGGCACAATTTATTTCTCTGAGTCTCCTCACACAGACTTACAGGTCTAGTAACGCCAACAACCTACATCCCCCAAGTAGTACACGTTGAGATATCGAATTGAAGCCAGCTTTCTCAGAATCTCACTGAACCTCTTTCGACGAGATATGATGGCTGAACAGGCTCCCAAACCCACAAAGAAAACCAGCGTTTTCAGCAAGACAGGAGGTGGTAACGCCGCCTTCCATAACTTCAATAATGACTTCTCCCACATAACCGACTTAAACGAGCGTCGTCGCCTTGCCCTCGCCGAGATAGATAAGGCTCCATTTGGCAAACGCCATATCCGTGCAATTGTCGTTGCTGGTGTTGGATTCTTCACCGACTCATATGATATCTTTGTCGTCTCCACGTTGACCATTATGCTTGGTATTGTATACTATGGCGGTACACTGCCAACCAGCTCCGATACCGCCATAAAGCTATCAACCTCTGCGGGCACTGTCATTGGCCAGCTTGGCTTTGGCGCTTTGGCCGATGTTGTCGGTCGTAAGCGCATGTACGGCCTGGAGCTCATTATCATCATTTTCGCTACTCTCGCCCAGGCCCTCAGTAGCGAGTCACCTTCTATGAGTATTGTCGGTGTCATTATCTTCTGGAGAGTTATAATGGGCGTGGGTATTGGAGGTGACTATCCCCTTTCTTCCATCATTACCTCCGAGTAAGTCTCTTTGTGTTTTCCTAGGCCAGCGATCTCGTATTATATGCTTAACAAGGCAATCTTAGGTTCGCGACGACCAAGTGGCGTGGTGCTATGATGGCTGCGGTCTTTGCTATGCAGGGTATTGGCCAGCTAACTGGTGCTCTCGTCATGCTTTTCGTAACGCTTGGTTTCAAATCCCAGACCGAGATAGCTGCTACTACCAGTGCGTGTACTGGGGCCTGCCAGGTTGCCGTTGACAGGATGTGGCGAATACTCATTGGATTTGGCGGTGTACCTGCTTGTATAGCCCTCTACTGTAAGCAAGTTTTGAATATCAGGCGAGCTACGTCATTTTAGGCTAACAGGAGATTCTCTCAGACCGTCTTACTATCCCCGAAACTCCTCGATATACCTTCGATGTCGCCCGCGATGTTGACAAGGCCGACAAGGATGTCAAAGCCTACATGCTTGGCAAGCCTGAGGGCCAAACCGAAGAGATGGCTCGCGTCGAAACCAAGATCGCTGCTCGCGAAAACCTTCAAGTGACCAAGGCAAGCTGGGGTGACTTCTTCAGACACTACCGCAAGCGTAAGAACTTCCTCCTCTTGCTTGGAACAGCCGGTTCATGGTTCTGTCTTGATGTGGCCTTCTATGGCCTCAGTTTGAATAATGCAACTATCCTACAGGTCATTGGCTATTCGACCAAGAACACGCACAACGTATACCAGTTCTTGTATAATACTGCCGTTGGCAATATCATCATTGTGCTTGCTGGTGCTGTTCCCGGATACTGGGTCTCGGTTGCAACGATTGATACCCTTGGGCGCAAGACAATTCAACTCGGCGGCTTCATTATCCTGACTATTCTATTTATTGTTATGGGGTTTGCCTACTTCCACATCTCCTCAAGTGGTCTCCTTGCTATTTATGTTCTTGCGCAATTCTTCTTCAACTTCGGTAAGTGGGTCCTCGATACTCGTAACAGAGCTACCTCAACATGGAGAATTCTAACCACTGAGACCAGGTCCCAATACGACAACCTTCGTTGTTCCAGGCGAAGTCTTTCCTACTCGATATCGCTCTACCTCACATGGTATTTCTGCTGCGAGCGGCAAAATTGGGTCTATCATTGGACAGGGGGCTATTGCTCCTCTTCGAACTCGCGGAGGAACAAAGGCAAACCCGGCGCCTTGGCAGGATCATGTCCTTGAGATTTATGCCCTCTTCATGCTTATCGGCTGTGGCACCACACTGCTAATCCCTGAGACCAAGAGAAAGACTCTTGAGGAATTGACTGGCGAAGATGACTACACTACTACTTACCGCGAGTCTCCCACGATTGAGGCTCGTGACTAATGCCAGACGTCGCAAAATATTATATAAATGTTGAAGGCCCGGTTGAAGGATTGATTCCCGACTTACCCACTGAGTCTATGCCACTGGATATCCAAATTGTTCAACACATGCCGAGAAATACACGTATCATATCGTTGGCCACCATGGAGGCTATATTCTGCGTTTAAGTTGATTTATTTGTATAGCAGAACCTCCGTCTCTTCATTCATGCTTATTCTCGTGTACGCCTAGTCTTTGTTCTGTACACAAGAGTAATAATGTTAAAAATCGCTATGTAGCAAGAACCTGCCGTTTAAGCTGCCCTAGTTCACGAATTTCTCGTACACACAATTCCTGTGATGAGCTTTCTCTTGACCGTCGGCCCGGCTAGAGTTGAAGGCAAAAAAGCCCCGCTCGCCGTTACACTCAGGTGTGAACTTATTACATTTCTTCTTGCATTTGGCACTTCAACATGTCAGCCATGATAGGATATTGGACTGGAAAAATAGAAAGAAAGGCAGACACATTCTCAGCCCTGTTCTCTCATAACTTATTTTCTTTGTCTTTTGCTTCAATATAAGCTAACCAATCAAAAGCTACAAAGAACAAATACAAGTAAGATGATTTTACTAGTATATATTGAACTCAAACATACCAAGAGCTTACGATTTTATCGTACAGCAAAGTACCTAGTTGTGATAGGACAGACTGCGGCCACCTAAAAGGTTGGCCTACCCTGTAGCACCAAGCCTAACGTTCAACTCTTGACTACCAGTCTCATGAATGCATTTAGCTGGAACTGCGTATTAATTCAAGTCCAATATTATTCAAGAAACAAAAATGAGAGTATTTATTTATCAGCGACTTTCACATACTGGGGACGTCTGTGATGTGTCACCTTTCGGCTGATAGTTGCCATTCTCTAAAGAACGTCTAACTGGCATCCTTATTAGAATGTCAGCAGTTCATGTTTTTTTTTTTTTACAACAGAACTTTTAATAGCATCATGTTTCCTACCTTCTGATCCAACCAGTCTCGGTAGAAAGATCAGAAGATGAAATCAACAAACTGAGCGCGTTATCATATTACCTACCACCTACCATTGTGAAGGTCCATCATCTCACCCGGAAGGGTGACCAATGTGAGACAAGTATTTGCACCTCTGCTGGCACAACGCCTCAAGAACCAATGGGGCCTAGTTTCTACCAACGCCATTGCCCAGGACAATCACTGGCGCCATGCTGGCTCAAGCTCGCATTCCTACTGCCAAGAAGCAATTCCTCGTCGAAACAAGGGTATTCTTCGCCTTCAAGCGAGAGCCCCTACATCATAGGCAAGATGGATACCTAGCCTGTGAGAGTAAAGATAATGTGCGACAATCTCGAGTGATACAATCC